ATGACACGATGTCACGAGGGATGTACACATAATAAAAGAGTTACTGAGTAGGTTGCTACAAAATAATGACTGGTACTGTGCAGAAAACTAAAAGATCCATCACTTTGCATTATTACCGTACTTGCTTTTGTATGAAAAACAGCTGGAACTCAAAATTTAGTATCAAATTCAGGAAAATGTTGCTACCTACATTCTTCATATTATACATTAGTTATTTAGACTGCTTCAAACTTCATAGGTGCTACTTTAATTCCTTTAATCTGCCTCTTCCCACACTCCCCCTAAATAGCCACTAATTTGTTCTCTACTTTTGTCTTCTATCTATACATTTCAATTTTTAATAACTGATGTAAGTGATATGATGCAAAATTTAACTTTCAACTTTCTGTGTTTCACTTATTTCTCTTCGCATAATTATATACCTTACAACTTGTGTGCAACAATAAGCTATATGTTTCAACCAAGTTAATTTTCGATTACAGGGCTACTTGAATACTTCAAATATTTCAACTCTTGAGTTCTTTGATGTCGTATTAGTTTGATTTTTATTTTTATTAGTGTATTTTTCAAATACATGATGATCACATTCTATGACCATCCCAATGAAGCTAAGTAGAATTTGGCTTGGTTATTATTTAGTACTTGGATTATCTACATGCATACACTAACCATCTACTAAGAGCAACAATTATACTTTTACCCACAACAGAAAAAATTTCAACAACAATGATATGCAGCTAACTATCTAAGGGTTTACAAAAGTTAATGACTATACTGGTAAGATAGATAGGTGGTAAATGGAGAATTCAAGATGAGAGTTTGAAAACTTAAGGAATAAAGATGAGAAGGAGAAGAAAAAGGTGAGGAAAAAGATCCTACTAAGACTTTAAAAGATAAGAGAATTAGCTCAAAGCGTTCAAAAAGAACAAATAACTAAAAGAAGATAAAAGAAAAAAGGAGTGAACCTGAGGAAGTAAAGACCAGAATGTTAAAAGGAAAATGTTAGAAAGAAAAACAAGCAAAGAAAAAAAAGAGAAAGAAAAATTCCATACCCCCCCAAAAAAAAACCAGTAAAGAAGGGACAACAAAAATAATGAGTCCAAAAATGGGAAAAAGGTGCTTTGAGTGAATGGTTTCACTTCGTGACCCACAATTTTGGAATCCAGCAGGTCACATTTTTTTTCACCTACCTTTGTGCTCTTTTGGTTTGTAAGGTGCCCCTCCTCCAAATGCCTCTCTGTCCATTGACCTCAGGTTGTATCAACTGTCCAAGCCAAGGCATACACTTTCTAATCTTGGTAGGTAGAAGGCAATCAGACCATTGACCTGTGCTGGATAGTATCCAGCAAGGAGAGGTTAAAGAAACCGACTAGAGGTAAATGCAGTGTTTTCAGAGCCAGCCATTTCTGAACATAAGGTAAGCTGGCTTCTCAGCATGAACAGGAGGGTGCCCATGTCCTGTTCAGCCTGAGTTTCACCGTTTCAGGGATCGATGTTTAACGCATTCTCTATGGACAGCTATCTTCTGTGGCTGTTGCACTCAGGCACTGTGGGAGGCGGTGGCCCCGGGGACCCTGAAGTGAAGGTGTTTTGTCTTTTTTCAGAATCTCGCTCTTCATTTCTCAAACCCTTCCCTAAATGGGACTTGATCAAACACTCACTGGCAGCAGAAGCCTCTCCAGCAATGGCCTGCTATGCTGCTTTCAAAGTTCCCAAGCACTGTGGGCTCCTCCCTCCTCTGGCCGGTGCCACTGCCCGATGTGTGGCGTTTCTCCATGCAGGTGCAGGTCCTTGTAGCTTACTTTGTGTCTGTGAAAAAGAGTTATTTCTGAAACCAAGGCAAGCTTCCAGATTGCTTCAGTCTCTTCTCTACATTTTGAGTTATTTTTCCAAATTGTCTGTACCTTCTTCTTTTCCCCCTAGATCCTTCTTCATTCTCAGTAATCCATTTGTTTATTTCTCTTGATTGACTTGTTTTCTGGGCTCATCATTCTGAGTCTCAGAGACGCTGTATTTCACTGTTCATTGCTACACTGCTCTTTTGATTCCTCATCTATGTGGATTTTTACGTTATGTTTTCCAACGTGCTTAAAATATATTTTGTATTTAGAGTCTGCTAGTCACTTTAATAAAAGTATGCAACTGAAAATATATTCGAAGTACTGATACCTCCTTTTGCTTGTATATCTATCTAAACTTCTTACACATCTTTCTATATTTAGGCCTTATTCTTCCATGCTTGTAAGGTGTCCCCTGCTCTTGTCAATCTGTCAAAACCCACTTAACTGCAAATTTAATTCAACTTAAATATCACCCTGGAAAGCACTTTAATCCTCTTTCTTGCTTGCTGTGATTTCTATTTTTAATCATCCCTTGACCAATCGCATTTCTGTATCTTTCAGTCTTTAAATAATAAAAAGTCCTGTAATGAGAAGTTTGACTGACAATGCAGAGCACAGCAGCTTCACTGAACAAGAAGGGAGGTGGCGAAAGGAAATATAGTGCACACCACAGCAACTGGACTGATTCCCACTGTTTCGTCCAGCCAATGCCTCTGTCACCTCCAGGCCACCAGCAAGACCTGTTGCTGTGGGCCTGGGAGTGAATTGGTACCCACTGGCTGCCCCACTCCTGCCCCTGCCACTGCTGAAGACCTGGAGGTGTGGTGACACAAAGTGTGCACCATTGCCACAGCTGCTCTGCTCCAGCCACTTCCACCTGGAAGGGAGATGTCACAAAGTAATATGGTACAGGCCACAGCACTTGAATGATATGGAGGGGAGGGGCCAGCATATGTTGTCCCTGTCTGAAACTCACTAGCACTAAGGAGAGAGAAGGGTCAGCTAGCCAGTGCACTTCAGAAGATAAGTGTTCAAAGGCTAGAGGATGACAAAAGGATCTATAACTTGAGAATAAAGTATATGAAGGAAGAAGCTGGGGTACAAACAAAGTAACTACACAGGTTATTCACAGAAAAATTAAGGAAAACTTCACAAACATAGGAAAGGGAAATGATATGCTGATATATGAGACATACAGAAGTCCAGCCACCTATAGCCAAAAGAGAGTTGTACCCAGGCATATAATAATCGTGATCCCAGAAATTCAATATAAGAACAGCATATTAATAGCTGTTAGAGACAAGAAACAGATAATCTATAAAGGAAGGCCCATCAGAATAATGGTAGACTTCTCTACACAAACCATCAAGTCAAGAAGAGCCTGGAGTGAAATATTCCAAGCACTGAAAGAAAATAACCTCCCTCCCACATTGATATCCCTGATAAACTGTCGCTAGAAATTAATGAACAAATAAGATGCTACCAAGACGAAGAGGAACTTAGGAAATTTGCAACCAATCCAACACTACAGAGAATACTGCAGGGCATTCTAGAGAGAGAGAAAAGTATTAGGATTCCAAGAAGAGTGGCAGAGAAGCTTCAATGAATGGAGCAGAAAACAGAATGAAGAAAATGAGCAGACAACTGCTGGCAAAAAAAGAGCAAACAGAAATGAGGCAGTAAAGATTGTATTCAAAACTGAAATGATTGATAGTATCAAGTCTGAGAGTATAGGCAACTACAGTGAAGATGACAAGACTCTCTGATACACATTCTGGTTTGATAACGGCAAGTTTTTGAAGTTTTATACTATATGCAAAGTTGTATTTTTATTAGTACTGTTATGTACTGATACATTCAATTATCCTATGTCTGATGATATAGCCAATATATATTGGACATAACAAGAGACAACACAGGAACCATGGTAGATCTCTTTGTATAGTGTTCTTTTACATTTAGTTCTTTTCATGTGTTTATAGGAATATGTTTTCTTTTGCCTTGCTTTGTTTTGTTTCTCCCTCTAATAATATAGAAAGGATAGAAATACATGTTAAGATTCATGTGTGTGCAAGTCTATAAACAGTATATGAGAACTGATTTTATGACACATGATGAAATCAACAGATGTTTTGAAGAAAGAGAGCCACTAAAATACCCAGTGCTGATACTGGAGTGTCATAATGTGAAACCCATCAATAGTATTAATCTTTGTTCAAAGTGGTATTAGCCTGCTTGTGTTTATTCAATCTCAACATAATTGAAGACATAAATAGCTGCATGTATGTTTAAGAGTATAGAATTGATAACCACATTTCCAAGTTTTTGTTGGATATTTGAACAGAACTGGGTGCAATCTCAGCCTTTGAATCCCTACTTTATACGCTCCACTTTAGTAACTTGAATAACTATTTGTAATAAGATAATCTGTAATCATCAACTAGTGATTTCTTACTGTTTTTTTCTTTGAAATCATGTGTTATTTCTACGTGGATTCTGTTTTGTTTAGTCTTTCTTTAAATTAAATTAAAGAGAAAAGACACTACAGTACCCAGTGCTGATCACAGAGTGTCATGATGTGAAATCCAGTAATACTATTATTGTTTGTTCAGAATGATTTTAACCTGCTTTAGTTTGTTTAATCTAAACATAAAAGAAGATATGCATAACTGCATGTATGTTTAAATGTATATGATTGACAACCGTGTTACTAAGGTTTGCTGGACTGTTGAACAGATCTTTTTTAAGTCTCCCTGAATATCCACTTAACATGTTCCACTCTTGTACCTTGAACAACTATTTGTAAAATGACAATATGTAAACAGCAACAAGTGATTTCTTACTGTTTAGGTTTTTCTCTGAACATATGTATTATTTCTACTTATTTTGTTTTGCTTAGACTTTTTAAAAATAAAATTTAAAAAAAAATTCGTATAACAAGAGCACAAGTGTTCCTGAATGCTCCTTTATATCGTCACTTAATTCTGAAGTTCACCACTGTCCCATGATTCCTCTGGTCTGTGAGTTTCTGAAAGAGAGGGCTAAACAGTTATCACCCTGCTTCATTTGTGTTTCCCTGAGATTACCTGCCTGCTCCTTCATTTTATATAGCAAATATAGACACTATCATATCCATACCATAGTTGGCAACTTAATTGATCCTGAGGAAGGACAACTACTGTATTAAAATCAGGCCACTTGTCCACCAGAGCCTTTACCTTGAAGGGGTTCCCGTGGTTCATATGGAAGATGGTCCCATAAACCTGTCCCAATTCAACACAGTGGAAGAAGAAGCATAGAGCTCAAGGTCAATATTGTGCTTGTGTGACAAAGTTACTCACCCCTCTGAAAGTAGGCTGTGCAGTGCTTAGAGTGTTTATTCCAATCCTTAGGTTACATTTTATTATCCCCCAAATAAGCAGAGTTTTGATGAAATCATAAATGAAATAAATTATCAATTACTCATTCTTGCACCACTTATTCTTTTTCATTTTTTCATGCATACACACAGTTATACAAAATGATCTCACATATATTACTTTAACATCTATTATTGCCACATACACTATACTTGACCATATTTCCAGGTCATTAAACACTCATGTATGTAAGCATACTTCATAACTATGTAATACTTATTCTATATTTCAATTTTTACCTCTTTTCATTTTAAAGAGAATAAAATGAAAGAAAGCAAATCCAAACAGAACAGAACAAAGTAGAGCAGAGTGAAACAATGCAAATAATACAGGATTTCGAAAAAGACAGCAGGAAATCAACAGTGGCTATCATGTCACTTGTGTTCTTTTAAATAGTTGCCCATACCTTTACTCACAATATGTTCATACACATCAAAATAATATAAAAGCAATCAAAACATAACAAAGAAAGCCTCAAGGGCTTTCAAGACCAGACACTAGGAAATCAATAATGCCTACCATAAAGTCTCTCATTTTCTTCAAAATAGCTGCCATAACTTCATACATATTGGAATCAAATAATTGAAAACAGACTAAAAGCGATCAAAACCAAAAATAAAAGCATTGTTAACTTTCCAATAAAAATGATAAGAGGTCATCAATGGCTACCATTGTGTCTTGTTTTCTTCAGTGTAATTGTTCCCCCATCACACATATTCAAATCAATTTTTGTAAACTCTTTAGGTGAATTTCTAGGCCTACATAAGCATATACATGCGTATCTATCATTTCTCTATTAGAAACAAACAACAAATAAATATCTATATCTAAGAAACAAAAACAATAACATTGTAGGCTTTCAAATCAAAGTGCCAGGAATACAAATTTTGTTCTCTTTCATAGTATCTTTGGAAGTCTTTGAATTATCATATATAGGCATGCAAAATTGATCTAATCCTATGGATGTTATTTGTTATTTTCCAAGAACTAGCAGAATTAGTAGCACAATCATCTTAGTAATCTATATATATATATATATATATATATATATATATATATACAAATTTATATCTTATTTTGTTTCTCTTCCTTCTGTTTTCTTTTTTCCTGTCTGAATTATTTTTTCCTCTTTGACCAGCTTCTTACCATTTCACAATATTTATTGAAGATTTGGTGTCTTATTTATTCTTTCAGTTTCTTACGTTAGGGAAAAAATATGGTATGTACACATGTGAGTTTGATTTATTTCATTTATGAGTATTGTCTCATATCACATCCATTTATTTATAAAAGCCTCAGTGTGATCTTTCTTTATAGCTGAGAAGTACTCCATTGTATAAAACTACCAGGTCTTTTTTATCCACTCTTCAGTTAATGGGCAGTGGCGTTGTGTCCAAGATAGCCATTACAAATTGTGCACTATATATAGATGTAGGTATAGATATAGATATAGATATCGATATCGATATCGATATCGATATAGATAAAGATATAGGTAAAGATATAGATAGAGATAGATATAGATATAGATATAGATTTAGATATAGATATAGATGAGTGTGTGTGTGTGTGCACATATATATCACTGTGGCATAATGTTTTTTAATTTTTCTGGAAATATGCCCTGAAGTGGAGTAGTTGGGTCAAATGGGACCTCTAATCCTGGTCTTTTGAGGAACCTCCACACTGATTTCCACAGTGGTTGCACCAATCTGCACTCTCACCACCAGTGAAGAAGTGTTTCTTTTCCCCACAGACTCTCCAGTATTCCTACTTGGTGGTTTTCTTGATACTGGCTATTCTATTTGGAGTAAAATTGGATCTCACTGTGGTTTTAATTTGCATTTTTCTAATGACCAATGATATTGAACATTTCCTCATGTATTTATTTGCCATTTATATTTCTTCAGCTAACAAGTGTATATTCATCTCACATGCTCATTCTTGGACAGTGTCGTTGAATTTTGGGGGCTTGATGTTGTAAAATTCTTCATATGGTCTAGATAAAAGTGCTTTGTCTGAGGGACAGTTGACTAATACATAGGTTGTCTTTTCACTCAGTTGCACATTTCTTTTGTCATGCAAAAACTTATTAACAAGATGAGATCCCAGGTGTTGATTCTGGGAAGTAGAATGACATTTTGATATTTTCACAAAGTTTTTTCTTCCTATCCATGATCAAGGAAAGTTTTTCCATTTTCTAAGGTTCTCTTTAATTTATTTTTTCAGAGTACTGTGAATTTCACTGAATAAATGTTTTGCTTCCTTTGTTAAATTGATTCCTAGGTATTTTATTTTTTGAATGCTATTGTGAAGGTTCTGGTTTCTCTTGTTTCCCTCCCAGTGAGTTTGTTGGTGTACAAGAATGCTATTGATTTGTGAGTGTTGACTTTGTAACTAGGTATGTTACTGAATTTGGTTGTTATATGTAGAAGTCTTTTTTTTTTTTTTTTTTTTTTTTTTTGAGCTGGTGTCTCTCTATGCAGTTCAGGCTGCCCTTGAGTTCACTTTGTAGCCCCGGCTGGTCTCAAACTTGGAACGATACTCCCACCTCAGCTTCCTGAGTGCTGGGATTACAGGCATGAGCCAACATGCCCAGCTTATATGTAGAAATCTTTCAGTGGAGTTTTGGGGATCTTCTATATAGCATGTCATGTCATCTGCAAATAATGGTAGTTTAATTTCTTCCTTTCTTATCTTTAATTATTTTATTTCTCTTGTCTAATTGCAGTGGCTAAAAGTTCCAGAAAAATACTTAATAGGAATGGTGTTAGTGGACTGCCTTGTCTTGTTCCTGACTTCAGAGTGAAAGATTTTTTTTTGACCGTTTAATATGATGATGGTTGTTGGTCATAGGTGGCTTTTATCTGGTTCAGATAATGACACTCTACCAATTTTCCATAATGTTCTTATCATGAATTAGTATGGCACTTTATCAGAAGCTTTTTTTTTTTGCATCTATTGAGATGATCATGTAATCCTTATCTTTGGCTCTATTGATATGATGCATCATGCTATTTGATTTGCATCTGGTAAACCTTGCTTGAATTCCTGTGATGCAACCCACCTGATCATGGTATATAATCTTGTTGATCGCTTGCTGCATTCTACTTGCCAGGATTTGTACATCTATGTTCATAAGGCAAACTGGCCTGTAGTTCTCTTTTTTGTTTGTGTCTTTCTCTAGTTTTGCTTCCAGGAATGAGTTTGGAAGAAGTGCTTGCCTTTCAATTTCAGTGAATAGTATGAGAAGTGTTGGCATTAAGTCTTCCTTGAATTTCTTGTAGAAATCAGCTGTGAACCCATCAGGACTTCTGGGATTGTATTTATTGGTAAGGTTTTAATTACATTTTCAATTTCATAAACTAAAATTGGTTTATTAAACTGTTTTATATCTTCTTGCTCCAGCTTTGATAATTTATGTGTTAGTAGGCATTTGTCTATTTCTTCTATATTATCAAAATTATTAGCGTAAAAGTTTTTGAAGTAGGTATTGATGTTTTTCTGTACTTCCACAGGCTCTGTAGTGATTTGACCCGTTTTATTCCTTATGGTCTGAATTTGAGTTATTCTTTCCTTTTTAAAATGAGCTGGCCCAGAGGCTTACTGATTTTATTTATTCTTTAAAGCATTAACTCTTTAATTCATTGGTTGTTTGTGTTATTTTCCTAGTCTTTACTGTGTTGATTTCTGCTGCAATCTTTATAATTTCTGCCCTTCTTTTGGTGCTGTGCTTGGCTTGCTCTTCTGTTTCTAGATATTTGAGTTGTAGCATCACGTTGTTTATTTGTCTTTGTTCTGTTTTTCTGATGTGCCAGTTCACAGCAATAAATTTTCCTCTGAAGTCTGATTTCTTTGTGTCCCACAGGTTCTGGTAAGATGCATTTCTATTTTCATTTACTTGTGGAATATTGTTTAATTTCTTCTGAGGCCCATTGGTTGCTCAAGAGGGTGTTATTTAATTTCCAAGCATTTATGGAGTTCTTGTAGTTTCCTTTGTCATTAATTTCCATTTTAATAGCACTATGATCAGATAATATGTGTGCAATAATTGCAATTATTTTGCATTTACTTAAGCATGTTCTTGGGCTAGTGTATGTACTTTTTTAGAGAATATCCCATGTGCAGCTGAGAAGAATGAATATTCTGATGTTGGGTGGAATATTCTGTATACACATTCTAAGTCCATTTGTTCACAAGCTTGATTCAATTCTCTTATTTCTTTGCAGACTTTCTTTCTAGTTTATCTGTCTCTTGGTGTCAAAGGGGTTTAATTGCTTGTTTTATTTTTCATTTCTATTAGTATTTGTTTTACGTAGTGGGTGCTCCCATATTTAGTGCATATATATTTAGGATTGTTTTCACTTCCTTTTGAAGATTTCCCCTACCTCAATAGTGACCTTCTTTATCTCTTCTGATCACTCTTGGTTTGAAGTTCACATTGGCTATAAACCATACAGCTACCCCTGCTGTTCTTTTGGTTCTTGTTGCATGAAGTTCTGTTTTCCTTCCTTTGACTTTCAGTCTATATGCTTCCTTTTGGGTTAGATTCATTTCATGTATGTAGAATATAATTTGATGTTTTGTCTTGATCCATCCTGCCAGGCTGTTTCTTTAAGTGGATGAATTGACTCCATTTACATTAATGTTTATAACTGATATATATATTGACTCATTTTTGTCATTTTGTGTTTCTGCTGTTGGTTGTTTACCTTTCCCCTCTCTTTAGTATTTTTTAACTGTCTGCTGTGCTTAGTGGCTTTTATCTATTTGTATTCTTGGAATTGTAGTTGTTTTTATGTCTATCTAGAATATTGCTCAGTATTCTTTGCAGGGTTTGTTTG